GTGACGATAGTTTATGTAGTAGTTATAGTGTAGTATATAGTTTATGTAGTATACACACAGTACTCAATAGTTATATCATTATTAGTTATAGTTATTGCCATTGCTATATATTGATATATATATATATATATATATATATATATATATATATATATATATATATATATATATATATATATATATATATATATATATATATATATATATATACATATAAGAGGTATCGTTTTTTATGTGCCCTATGGAATCGGTGATAATATATCTTTTCCGACTTATGAGGTCAAAGCTTATTACTACGAGTTCCTATTCCATCTTTTTTTTTAATTATGACTCCATCAGGGTTCTTATGATTTTGTGAATATCAAGGTTGGAAAAGATACTGTTGAAGTTTTATCGGTGATGCGATATAATTGTTTTGTCCGTGTTCGTTGAGTTTTTATCCTTTTATCATTTCCCTTATTCCATCTTTCGATGTGAATATTTGACCTAAAAAATCCGTATCCTGTATAAAGCTTAATTGGAAACCGGAAATCCTGCCTACAGCTATTCGAAGACGAAATGGGATAGGTATGTAATAGATTGGTTAACCCGAATTAAAGCTGCAAATTAGGAAAGCTAACGACGTTAACAACGAACACGCTCTCTTGGTATTTGTTTACTTCCAATTTGGTAATGCAAAAATGTTATACGAAAACAAAAACAAATATTTAAATTTGTAAATTGAGAATCTGGGACTTTCCGTATGGTATAGAAGGTTCTATTTTCAACCGTTTTGAAGTTTTTTATATCTTGTAATTATCTTTATTATAAATTATTTTAATAATTTGCATTTATTAATTTACCAAGTATATAATCATAAATGGTTTGTTTGAATCGAAGCATTTGGTGTTCCATTGTATCTTCCCACCCTAATGGGAGACAGGCGTGACGGATATGTATGTATGTATGTATGTATAATCATAAATGAACGTTTTTATTCAAGCACGTCTATAAGTAGCCCACAATAAAAAAAAAGTTATGTTATAACAAACGATAAATCGCTTTTTATATATATTGTCTATGAGACGATTATATACGACGATAGAGACGTTCTGAAAATTACTAGAAATAATAACATATAACAATACTTACTAATTGTACTTCAAATGAGTAATACAAACATGTGAACAATAAGAAGTTAAATCCTGTTAGAAACTTTCTCTGCTAATTTATTTATTTATTTTTTTGAAAACGTACAGCTGAATTACAGTCAATACATAATCAAATTTATATCTATGTTAAGCCATGAATCGTTTTCACATTTGCGTAATGACACAATTGATCGGTTTTTATATAAGCAAAATATATACATACATACATATATACACATATACATATACATACACACGCATATATACACATATATATAATAATTAAAAAGTTATAAATTTTGATGAGACACCTTTTAGCTTAATATATAATAACAAAACAAAAACAATATAAAGCAAAACAACGTTACTAAAATAGTCAATTAGGTGCAGCAGGGCGAGAACCAAAGAATGATTTTGCTACATGCAATTTAATTGCTTGCGGTTTTGTGTGGAACAGATCAATATCATCACAAGTAATCATAAGTACTGCCACTTTTTTTATATTATAGCAGGACAAATGACCACACCATTCTGAGCACACACAAATATAATATGGTCCATGAATACAATCAACCGAAAAGATTATTATTTACTCCAACGGTTGGCTGCACTGAATCGGTTCACTGAGTACTTTTTCACGCTACCTTTGAAGGATTCGTGGTTATATGATGAAGGGAACACGTCACGGGAAAGGCCATTCCACATTGTTATGGTACGGTTCAAGTAAGAGTTGACAAACTTACTTGTACGCGACTGCGAGCGGTCAACCGTGTATGGATATAATCTTTAGCATAACCTAGTGGTGCGATATCGAAAAAGAAAGGTGGAATAAGAGAATTAAGTTCCTCTGAGCACTCCCTATGAAATAGGCGATAGAAGACACTAAAGAAGACTACATCTCTCAGTCAAGTTTGTCATTTTATTTTTCGTTAGAAAGAAATAATTATTCACGTGAAGAGGATAAACGATACTATAATCCAAGATATCTATTTTTTTGCCGTATGCTTGTTTGCTACCATTGAGGTGGCAAACAAGCATACGGCTCTCCTGATGGTAAGTGGTTACCGTAGCCTATGAACACCTACTATACCAGAGGTATTACGCGAGCGTTGCCGACCCTGAAGAAACCTTTTTACCTCCCTTTTGATGAACCCCATGCTGTAGTCTCTTGGGAAAACCTCGGCAGGGAGCTCTGAGTCAAAATTTTATTTATTGAGCCATATTGAGTAATTAACGTTGAAGTATCATTACTAACTTCACATTTATAATATTTGTACATAGTAATCAGTACCATTCATACTTATTTATTAAGCACTAAAGATTAAATAAAAAAATATATAATACAAAAAGCTTTATTAAACATTTATTATCACGTAAACTCATATTTATATATTTCTTCTTTTCATGCATGCTTAATTCAGATAGTTATTGCTGAAAATGAAAATATAATCTTTTTTTCATTTTCTAATATCGAACGTAATGTGTATAAAATATTCACAATAGGAATAGTTTCCTATCATAATTTTAAACTATCTCATTTGACAAATCTTGGAGAAGAAATTTCGTAAAATGTTATTCTGAAAATCAGTAGGTAAATTAACTAACCTAGAAATTTAACTTCGTAGTAAATAATAATAAAGTAAATTTAATACGTTCCATAAAACAGACTTAATATTGATAAAAATTGTATGGGTAAAATACGTGTGTACACAATATTGATTAAATAATCAAAATATACAATAGAAAACAGACCAAAGATAATACATACAGATATATAGTAGGAGAAAAGGAATGTACAAAGGCGGGCTTAACTCTATAAGAGTTTTCTTTCAGAAAACCCAAAGAGGAAAGAAGCATTCATGTCAGTGAATAGTATAATGTACAATATAAGACAACTTTTAAACAAAAAGAATTATATAAAATTGTATTATACATAACCAATTATACATAACCATTAGTTTTATTTTATATATGCGTTTTTATTCATTTCACGCAAAAAAAAAACTACTAAATGGTATTGTATGAAATTTGGAAAACGGATAGGATATATACAACCATAATATTCATAAAGATAAAAGATACACTTTAAGTTTGCTCTTAAAAATATTTAGAGATTGAATTTTTCGGAAAGGCATGACAAGGAATGGAAGTATCATCAAAATCATATTAAAGTTGAAAAAAATATCAAATAGCACAAAAATGTTCCTCTTTGAAGCCGATTGAAACAAAAGAGAAAAGAGATTTATTTTACACAAGTGTAATTATAATAATGGACCCGGAGCATAATAATAGGCATCGACAATAATTATGGTACAAAGTTAATAATGATTTAAATCATAACGTAACAGTCAAATTAATGTTGGTAGTAAAACTATAAATAAATACGAGTACAACACGTATCAGAAAGTTCTATATCAGTTCTATAAAAATCATAGAATAAAATTACCTTCCTAGTCAATAAATATTCTCAAATATAGTTATTACCCTTACGCGTATATCTATATTTACTGAAGACAGGCTAAAATACGACAGCACTGGTAATCCTCCCTTTGATATAATATACTTACCTACCATAAATTCCATTGTAACCAATAAACGTTATAAGCTAATAGTATAATATATAATACCGATCAGAAGCATATTAGATATCAATATATATTTTAATAACTAAAAAGATCTTCTATTTAAATTATGTAAATAGTATCTATCCGTATGTGAAATTATGCAATTTCATTATTAAATTTATTTAGCTTTGGTAATTTGTAAATGTCCAATTTTTTGTAGGTACCTACTCTATACTTTTTATTTCTTGAAACATTCTGTATTTTATTATAGTTATGTAAGTGTAAAATTATATAATTTTTCATGCAATGGATCTATTATGTGGTAGTGAAGGTCTAAAGTTGAAATTATGGTGCTATAGCTACAAACCAAATAAAATTAATCGGCTCGATATGTAGGGATGCTTGGAATTTTGATGCGTGTTAGAATCGAAAATATGAATATCTACAGAAAACCAGAGTAGATGAAATAAAAGATAGCAAATAATGTAAACGAGTGAGGTGTAAAAGCAATTTTTTTATACGGAGGTGAATTGATAATTGGACGACATCATAAAGATCTAGGAGTGTTTTCCAAAGTGAACTATAATGACTAAAATAAATATAATAATATAATGAAATGCATTACTATATGTATACGATGCAATTAGTCAATTTATTTTTTATTATCGATGTAACAAACATTGCTACATCGATAATGTAATTTCCTGAAAAGGCGAAGGATCAATCATATAAATCCTTATTTTTACTTAACTCTTTCAGTTTTCGTTTAACGTTCTATCAGCATCTTGAAAACATTCTTTTGTTGCACAACTACATGACCGTATTTTGTTTTTTTCCTATAAATCTAGCTGGTTCCAGGTATGTTCTAACTCTTTGTCCTTTGGGCTTTATTCTGAGCCGAAAATCTTTGTTCTGATGAAAAGCTTTAGTGTTTTAGAGAATCTGGGGTGTGAGAAATGCTTTCTTAGATATAAATATACTAACAGTTATGTATACATACTTATGTACAAATCTACTCCGAGTACGTATAGTAAAACTCGTTCAATGAAATTGGGCTTTTTTATTTACGAGTAGTGGCGAAGAGAAAGGCAGCTAGTGGTGCGTGGAAGGTGCCACTGGATGCTGACTCTGGAGGCGATAATGAGGATGTAAATTGGCGTGTAGAGTCGGGAGGTGTGGGCGCTATGGCGGGGGGTGGCCCGGGCCGCCCAACCTGTGGCGTATCTGTTGCGCCACCCGGCCGCGCGCCCGCGCCCCTCACGTATCTCGTCGCCGCCCGACGCGCCCAGCGCCCGCCCGGCCCGAACGCAGTCTCACGCCGCGCACTCGCTGCTTCGCCGCGCGACATCCGACACTCGTGGTAAACAACGAGTTTTCCGCTCAAAAGCACGTGTCTAATGACTGTTACTTGTTCAATCTATTGTGCGAAGATTTTTTTTTCTTTTGTTGTTGCCAATGTAAAAGTTATGAATTGAGTTTAGCTGTCAGTTACAATATATTAATGTTTATTGGATGGCATTATTGGTATGAACTATAAAATAATAGTATTCAATGTATATGTAATCAGCAAACAGTGCAATTTTTATGGTTTATTTTTATTAATTTAATTGATGAAAATTGTAAGTGTACTAATTACAATTTTTTTATCTTCTGTATTACCTTATTTCTTTATGCTTAAATTTAAACGATTTCTTATAACAAGAGCTAAGAATTAAAATAATCATATAGTTAGTTTGTTTAGCCATTTTTTCTGATCTTTGTTTAGAAAGAAAATTTCATTTATCTAACAATTATAACATCTAGTTACGTTAATACTTTTAGCTTTCGTAAGATAAACTAAGTAAAAGTAGATATTTTTGTTATATTTTACCTTCACAGCACGTTATCTATTTTTAATGTATTATAAATCTGGTAAAATTTAGTGAGGGAACTCATTCATCGATATTTACATTCACATAATAGGCGCCTTTCCGCTTGAACCCGAGAAATATCATCCATCATTATACCTACCTTTGCCAGCATTGATACCAAATACCCTTTGTCCGTTGTCATATTCAAAAGACATCCCACAAAGTTTGAGACTTGGTTATTTAAAATTATTGATAATCGCACGTTATTATGTTACCTTATATTATTTAAGTATTTAGAAATTTCACAGAAAACAGATAATAAATAAAATTAAAACGTAGATATATTGTCTATTTTCTAATTTTTTCTTACACACTTAATAATTTTTTTTTACAAATACGGGTCGTATGACCCGTATTTGTAAAAAACAAATATTAATATATTCTTTGTATCTCCCAATTGTATCCGATAATAGATAAAAGCATTCGCTGTGTCTAATTTAATTTAAAATCACAGCAGAATGGTCGACCCTTGGCTGTCAATACCGTTATCATAAATATTCGATATATTACCTATCTCCCGCACGATAACTGAATCGATATTCAAACCAATAGATATCATTAGATAAACGTAACTAATGGAAGTTCGTATGCCACCTAGCGGTAAATATTTTGTTGATAAATTGGAATAACAAAAAAGAAGTAAATACAGAATACTAAGAACAAGAACTATAAACAAGACCTGAGCCAATTTTTTAAAATTCGAATACCAGTAACTGAAAGATTTAATAGTGCACAGTGATGTTATATGAAACTAGACTTCGTGGATCTGATCAGTGAATAAATCAAGATTATTGTGGAGGAGTGTAGTGCTGTGTGGTGGTTTCAAGCATTGTCGACAGGGATCCGATGGCCGGCGGTCCCCGGAGCCGCTAAATCGATCCCGCCACACCGGCGCGCCTCTCGTTCGTAAGTGCAGCACATGCATCTATGCAATCATCATCATCATATCGCTTTTTTTCTTTTGTTTACGTAAACATTTCAAATGCGCTCCAATCAGTAATGAAAACTTGTTATAATTATTTTGGAAATAACTAGTCATTAATCACGTAAAGCAAAGCGGATTTACGTCTGTGTTTATAAACTAAAACCGTACATGTTATAAACAATTTTGTTTAGACAAAGAGAAAACTACGACGTTATTTGAGTTGCAACGGTTCTGATTAGATTTTTTTTATACAACTTAGAATGGCAAACAAGCTGACGGCCCACCTGATGAAAAGTAGTAACCGTCGCCTATAGACATAAACAGTACTATGGACATAACAGAGTATACTACGCGAGAGATACGCCCCATGCATTGCCATTCTTGAGGATTCAGATGTTATTCCTCTGTACCCTGTAAAAAAATATTTTCTATAAAAATATGCTAATAAAACTTTTTATACAGAACTTTAATAAATCATTCCGTTAATATTTGATAACAAGTAGGTATTTGTATATTATAAAATATTAGTATTTTACTAGTCAATTTGATTTCTGAATAATTGAAACTTGTGTGCATGATCTCAAATTCGTAGAAGTACTATTTGAATGCTTTTGTCGGATGCAATGGGATTCCCAATTTGAAAAAAGAATTGATAATTTACCGAATAATAATATTACTTCTGTGATTTAACTAGGATTATACTTTGGATATAAAAGAGATGTAGATTCGAATGCCACCTAATCGAGTCTTTGTAAGGATTTTTTTTCAAAGAGGATTCACAAATAAAAGGTTATGCATTAAAAATATTTTGAAATACGGTCAATAATTTTGTATCCTTTATTTTCTCTTAAACCACCTGAACCTACTTAGATCTATTTCAATCATTGCTTATATTTATTATTACGGGTACTTGACATTTACTCGTCCGTGTAAGCCGAGATGTATGAAGATCTATCATTTCTCTTAATAATTCATGCACGATATATCAAATGTCACGCCTGTCGCAATTACCCTCAGTAAATATCAGGAATATTAAATATTTTCATGTTTCAGTCAAAATGCACACCATTGTTGCATGGAGAATTGCCAGGTACAATGTTTTCTGTTTCTTTTTAATCAACTGTATACGACTATAATTTAATGAAGTCAGTTTATTTGGGTGTTGGAGCATGGCAGCCATTACCAATACACAAATACTTTCACGAAAGCACAATCATAAACTAGCAAGCGGGAAATATTTATTTACGTTACACTAAACGCCCGATAGAAATATTTACGAAGGCAACAGTTATAATTACCTATATCAAAGTTCTTATACCCTTTTCATTATACCATACAATCTTTAGTTACATAAAAGTAATAAGTATTGACTGCGGATATTACCTACACACTAATACATAATTATCATGTACACAGTCATATGTATGTGTATATATATATATATAAATAAGGTAAAAGTTGGACCTTATTACATTATCCAGTTATTAAGATAGAAATTACTAATTACCACGCAAAGAATGTTGCCACATGCTTAACTGAGCCGCATTTTTTTAATAACAAATCATTATCATCATCATTTCAGCCAGTTAATTGTTCATTGCTGAACATAAGCCTTTCCCATAAGGGGAGTTTTGCCAGTAGATCCTACGCTTTTCAAGCAGGTTAGCAACCGCAGTTAGGCTTTTAGAGATGTCATAAGGACGCCACTGCTAATCCCTCTACCATTAAGTTCCTTTAGTCATGACAAATAACATTGTTTAAAACACAGAAAACAGATTATTTCGCCTATATATTGTCAATTCCTAATAAATATAATATATTATATGAATACCAAAGTCTACGCAAATTTTTTTTATTTTATATTACGAAACAAATCTAAGACACACATTTATATAGTATTTTATTTAACCAGTATAATTAGGGAAGCGTAGGGGAAGAGTATAAAAGAAAACACGAATAATTACTGCCAAATGAATAAGGATCACGTGGTGGTTTTTCCATGTAGAAACGGAATACGAACGCGTATATATTATCGACTTATTTTGTTCTGTCATTAAAGGCGTTTAGGAAACAAAACGAAATGCACCAGTGCGAGAAAAGAATAACTATAAAAAACCTATTCGAATCCACCCAATTTACTTAATAGTAAAAGGCTATGTTCTCCTCTAATAGAAAAACCTGTGTCCTAAAGTGGGATGTTATAGCAAGATAAGGATGTATAAGGAATAAAACTGGATGTGTTAGAAAAAATAATGAGTGAGTATCTATTGTGCGTCGTATTAAAGCAGCACAACCTAAAAACATAAGCGAATAACTGTGTAGCAAGTCGCGTTAGGCATTGCGTTCGCAATTCATGCCATACTACATGCAACGCAACTCGCATATGTTTTCTTGATACAAACTATTGTATACAAACGTTGTAAACGTTTAAAAACCCAAAAAAGTGTTGTTATAATAAAACTAGATTTACCAGCGATTTTGTCCTTGTGACCTGGATAGATTTCTTGACGCGGATAAAAAGTAACCTATATCCTTCTCCGTCTCTTGTACGAGTACCATGAGTATACCAAACTTCAAAACGATAAACCAAGCCTTTGAAACGTCAAGTGGTAACAAACAATCAAAGAACTCTCTCTCACACTTATAATATTGGTAAGGATAATATAATTAGTTAGGTTAAGGCAATTATTTTTTTTATTTTCATTATTATTTATCAATCTTCTAGATAGAAAACAAAGTACATAGGTATTGGTAGTTAAATACTGCTCAAATAGTATTATATAAAAATATAAATAGTTATACAGATTACGCCTGCCATATACTTGTATATTTTCTGAAGTTTTCTTATACAAAGTAATATAAGCAATAGATATTTTCCTCGATATGCTGCTGCGGCATTGAGGGATAAATTCTAAGCCGTATACGTGATGAATTTTCAAAATACAACTTGCAACGTACGCGTATATTTGTACCTAAAACTACTCAAAAGATATTTTCATATTTTAACAATATTTCTTTAACAATTATTCGCATCGCATATATATATAGCAGAATATTATAAAAATGTGAAAAACTATATTTATTTTTAACCCCTAGGCACTTTAACGTACTAACTTATAGAATTGTCATGACTCATAAAATTTGGTAAACTACTAAGTTTAACTAAATAGGAGTTCTACCATATTTGGAATTTTGTTGCTCAGTACGACTCAGTAAACGAAGTCATGAACATAAATAGTCATAAATAAATGTAACAAAACATTAGGTATAGAATCATCATCACACAAGCTACCAGTTATTACGAGCCAATGGTTAGTTTAATAGTTTAACTATTGCTGGTATATGCAACTTTCGTTTGTACCTATCTATTTAACTCAGTTAACTTAAATTTTACAGTCATTCGTCATGTTGTCATGCCGATATGATGATGGATTACTATTCTATTACAAAAATTGAAATAAAAGCGCGTAAGTAGTAAGAGAATATAAAAATATTTCATTATAGTAATAATTCAACAAGGCAATTAGACCCATAGATCCTTGTAATAGCACGATTAAACATTAATCCTTTTACACGAAACAATCGTTTCTCGAATTAAGTATCGCAGTTACAAGTAATCATTAACAAAAATAAGTGAAGTTATTAGACGTTGTTAACTCGACGTAAAATATAATTTAACAAAAAAATTTGATCGTTTTATAATATAATTCATTTCCGTGAACGTCTTTAGGTATTTTTGTTTTCACTGATCTTTCTTGATCGAGCACCACCCTAACACCTACATTAATTTCTATTGCATTACGTTTACTAAAATGTTTACCGATGACCTCATCTCTTAATGATCGCCAGTCCTTCACTGTTAGAAGGTAGGTAGATATAAATCAACAGTTCAACACGTGTTTCACCTCTTTTAGCAGATAAATAACTCGTATTTTGAGGTCAGGCTGTGGTTAAATAAACCTCATAAAAGGGCCACGCCATAAACGGCCGTCGCTTTCCATGCAATTAATAATTTATTCTTAATAATTTAAAAGCGTCTCTATACATATGTACAGATAGCAGCAAATAACTTTATATTTATCATTGATATAAAAAACAATGCATAATTAATAAATAAAGTCAAATTAAAAACAGAGTGCATTCAACTAAATTATGTACAAATTTTTAATTATACAATAACATTTCTAGTCAAATGAATGCCGAAAAATTCATTATTCGGCATTCATTTGAATATTAAAATTTTATAGAAATAACAACTTCTAGAATTTAGATACGAAATCTATTATTATCATATCAGCCATTGCTTGTTCACTGCTGAACATAGGTTTTCCTCTGATGCGTGATTTACCAACAGTTGCCACGCTTAGCAGGCGGGTTGGCAGCCGTAGTTAGGCTTTGGTAATGTTTAAAGAGGAACGTTGTTATCTATTCCCTGGACTATTAAATTCCCTTAGTCGCCTGTTGCGACACCCACGGGTATATATAACATATTTTTTATTCAAGTAAACTTAATTACTGACACTGCTTATTTAAATAGGATTATTATATATTTAATTCAGCTACTATTAGCATGTGTGTAACTGCCAACACTCGAAGATTGACTATCATTGTTACTGTCAGAAGTTCCACAAGCTTTCATATTAACTATCAATCTTCGACTGCCATTTTGTTCACGCGCCTTTTGCGACACATGGTTCATCTCTAAACGACGTCTTCGTTTAGAGGTGAATTTAGGAAAATTATTAGATCACTGCTCGAAGTCTAGTGTCACAGCTAATATAATACTATACCTAGTGTTAACCGTTCGTTTCACAGTTTGGGTGGCGATTGTTATAAACTTTCTCATTTATAATAATAAAGTCAGCAACACGCATATAACATCTCTAGCCATAGTGACTACTTACTGTTAGGTGGGTTGGTGAGCTGTAAAATAATTCAACAATACTAGATTATTAAAACGGAGTTTTTTTTATATAACTTA